CCGATGCTGTTGATGCTCGATCCAATGATGCAATGGATGCTGGAGCCGAAACTTCAGCAAGGTATGTTGTTGTTGTTTGAATTCACCGACTGTAAACTCCGGCAGAAAGACCTGGTAGATGGTCCATTTCTGGACTATGGCTTTGATCCAGGACCTGAGTTTTGCGTGTACATCTGTTTTACAGATCTGAATTTTTTGTATTTTTGTATCCAGACTGTTGGTTCCTTGCCTCTCAGGCAGATGGAAACCCCCAATTAGTAGATTCTTACAACATGCTTGTTTGGAAGGCGATTGGTCTGTTCTTGTTTTCCCTCACAGTGGGACCCCAGAACCCACACATGGAAGGCAATGGGTCTGTTCTTGTTTTCCCTCACAGTGGGACCCCAGAACCCACACATGGAAGGCGATTGGTCTGTTCTTGTTTTCCCTCACAGTGGGACCCCAGAACCCACACATGGAAGGCAATGGGTCTGTTCTTGTTTTCCCTCACAGTGGGACCTCAGAACCCACACATGGAAGGCAATGGGTCTGTTCTTGTTTTCCCTCACAGTGGGACCCCAGAACCCACACATGGAAGGCGATTGGTCTGTTCTTGTTTTCCCTCACAGTGGGACCCCAGAACCCACACATGAAAGGCAATGGGTCTGTTCTTGTTTTCCCTCACAGTGGGACCTCAGAACCCACACATGGAAGGCAATGGGTCTGTTCTTGTTTTCCCTCACAGTGGGACCTCAGAACCCTCATAGGGAAATAAGGTGTGATGATAGCTTTCAAATGCATGGGATTTTGATCACATAATTTTAATATCATTTCTCTTTATGCCTAGTGGCACTTAAGGCTTCATTGAGGACTTTCCATGCTTTCTTGCCCTGTGCAATCTTCAGTGCTGTTTTCCATGTCAAAGATGCAGCACTCATTTCACTTTCCATCGTTCATCTCCATGTTGTTTTTTGGGCGCCCCTGTTTTCTCTTTCCCTCTGGTATCCATGTGAGAGCTGTTTGGCAGGTATATCAGGATTCATTCTCGTGTCATGACCAAGTCATTTCCACCTTCTTAGTTATTATACGTCTAGAGTTTCTTGGTTAATTTTACAATAAAACATAATGTAAGGACATGTATATTCTATTTTTACGTTTGGGTAAATATCACAAAGAAAAAAGGACAGAAACATTGAACTCCAAAACAAAATGGGGTTAGTAGCAGTACTAGATTTCATAAGAAAACAACACAGGAAATAGTTCAGCTATTTACGGCTTCAAATGAAAACTGTAAAAGTGTAATAGAAATTACAGTAACCATGCCAGTGTCTTGTGACCTGTCAGTGTTGTTGTTAAGGAGGTCAAGAGTGTTAACCACAAGACAGCAAAATACAGACAAGCATGTATCCTAACAAGCATGTTGTAAAAGGTTACTAATTAGGGGTTTGTTGAAACCAGGTGTGTTGGGCTGAAAGGCACTGTTATCATAGTCTTGCTGTAAACCACAACACAATGTGCCAACTTTAGCAGAAGTAGTAGTACTTACTTATCGACTTACTTAGTCACTTCTCTTCTACCTTGGGGTGTAGAGTTTTGCCAGAGAGATCGCTAGACTTCTCTGTCTGCAGTTTTCTTTCTGGCTTTGTTCCATTCCAGTCCTCTGTCAGTTAGGGACTGTCAGATGTTGTCTTCCCAGCCGACCCTGGATCACCCTGGAGGTCTGGTTCCCTTTCTTAGGCGATTTTCTCCCATTCTGCATACATGTCCAAGCCATCGTAACTGTAACTGATCCACTTGGGTTTGTAAGGCCTGGGTATCAAGATCTTGATGTATTGTCTGACTGCAGACTTTGTACCTTCTTGTCACTTGGACCACCTTTCTCAGGTATCTCAGAAGTAGTAGTACCCATCATAATTAGGGCATCCCTAACACACAGCTTCAGCAGCTACATGTAACCTGCAGTTCTATGGGATAAGTGTTTTTTAGATTTGTATGCCTACAGTGGTGTAGCAGGTAGATGCTCGCCTGCGGATCTGAAGGTTGTGGGTTCAAATCAGCATGGAACCAAAATTCCTTCAGAGATGACCTTGGCTCCCAGGTCAGTCCAGCCTTAAATGGGAAGTAAAGGTGGCCGCCGTGATGCTGACCACACCACCCAGGTCTGTCACAATATGTGTCCGGTATCATGTACCCGATGTGCCGCTGGCATGTAAAGGGACCTTGACTTTACTGTACCACTTGTTGTCCATATCTTTCATACTTATAGCAACACAGGTTCTTTGTAGCACTTTAACTCTCTTTTTCTCATGATAAAAACCATCTTACTAAATGTGCTTCAGCTCTCCTCTATTTAATTGCCAGATTGCAAGCTTCTGCACAAGCCAGGAGTTCAGATAATCTCTCTGATTGCTATAAGATGAATCATGAGAAAAGAGGTATGGCAGTGATTATAAATAATAGAAACTTCCACCCTTCCACAAGGATGGGAGAGAGGAATGGAACCGATGTCGATGCAGAAGCCATGTATAGACTGTTGGACGTGCTGGGGTTTGAGGTGATTGACAAGCATGATAACAAGACAGCAGCACAGATGAGGGATATACTCTGTAAAGGTTTGTAATTGTGCAGGCTTGGATTGTTAGCTAGTTGTCTGATGGATCTTCCCCATCGCATGTCGAATCACTTAGTCCCCAGGAGCGGGGATTCCCTCCTCAGTAAATCCCATATCATTGTAGCGGCTGATGACATCAGTTCTTTGTTGGTTTATGCTTCTTCTTTGAATTTGTACTCTTATCCAACCTCACCTCTTTTAATTTGATCTTTTTTGCCATTAGATCATGTTTGTAGATTCAGTCAATTATTGGTGCTCGCAGATGTCTTACTTCTCATAGAGCATTCAGTAAAGTGTGGTTTATTGACGACCTGCTCTACACAGTAGTAGCCGTACCTAAAAGCCTCTCACCATGTTCATTTTCTTTCACGCCTGCCTGCCCTGACATAAAACAAAAATGACACTGATCATTGTCAGCCATGACTATCTTAGAAACTCCAATCACATGATCTTCCGGCTGAGCCCATCTCTGTCTTCTTCAACATACTCAGTGAGTCACTGAGTAGGCGCACGCCAATGCTGCACAGCCAGACTGCTTGTTTGTAGTCAGGGCAAGAGAAGATGCAGAGAATTAACCCTTTCATGGTCATAGGGCATGTGTCCAGTGAAATTTTATAAAACCTCAAATTTTTGTTCATGAAATGATGTTAGTTTACATTTAATAGAGACACATTAAGGTCATATTCAGTGTAGTTATATTATAGTAATTAATGCCTTAGTTAGTTAGTTAGTTAGTTATTCCTCTTGTGCCAAAGATGGCGCATAGGGCAGAGGTCATAGCTTTCCACGTCCGTCGGTTCGTTGCCACTTGATGTAGGTCTTGAGTGCGACTGAGACCTATGGTTGAGCTCTCTCTTGTGATGGTTCTACGGAGAGTTTCTTTTGGTCTTCCCTGTTTTCTTTTACCCTCTGGTGACCATATGAAGGCTTGGTGGGGAAGTCTCTGAATGTCCATTCTGAGTACGTGACCGATGTAATTCCAGCGACGCATTCTAATAAAATCAGACACATATTTTTGTTTTGTTTCCTGTCTTATAGATGTATTGGACCTAAAGTCCGACCAGTGAACGTTCAATAGCTTTCGGAGGCATCTATTCTCGAAAGCGACTAGTTTCTTATCGATTGATACTGATGATTTCCAACTCTCACAACCATAAGTTAGCACTGGGATCACACAGGAATTGAAGACCTTAAGTTTCGTGTTGTTGCTGAGTGATCTTGACTTCTTGAATTAATGCCTACTGGCATAAAAATGGGTCTTTAACTTTGCTTTACATATGCAAGATGACTGTTCCAAAATTGTAATCTAATATTAAAAAAGAAATAGATTATGGATCGTGTAAGAAGTATTTTGACTCCTGATGTGTCTCCAGCATCAAAGGTTGATCATACAGACAGTGACTGCTTTGTCTGTGTAATACTTTCCCATGGTGAGGAAGGTCATATTTATGGCACCGACCAGCCTATTGCCATTGATGAACTTGTACGACCTTTCAAGGGACACAACTGTTCAAGTTTGGCTGGCAAACCCAAGTTATTTTTCATACAGGTAAGAATTTCTCTTACAGGTTATAAGAAAATAATTGTTGCAGACTTCTAGTACAGTGAGATGATAGAAACAGCACAAAGATGTTAACCATAATGAAGAGGTCTTGAAAACAAACAACTTTACTCCTGAAGAAAACAGTTGCCCACATCAGAGACAAACTACATTCTTCAACCATATTTTGAGAAGGGAAAACTTGAGTATGTCGTAACAACTGGTAGTTGGAGGCGAAGAGAGGCTTTGAGAAAATATATGAAAAATGTTTAAATAAATAGTCTTTACAAAGCAATTCATTTTTAAATAACCATGCCAGAAGCCATCCATTATGTAAACACGGAGCCATATTGCTGCAGTTATATAAAAACCAGTACTATTAATATTATCTGCAACTACAATCCTTTTTGAAAACAGTAAAAATTCAAAAGTTTGGACGTGTAATCAGATTTACCATTATTTCCAAAACCAGACTACAGGTTTCTGTACAGGGGAAGAGATGATGAGGTAAGCTAAGCAAGATCTGGGTCTAAAATTAGGCTGACTGGTAAAAGAAAACTCCCATTAGTGATTCTGTCAGACTAGTTACTTCATCTGTTATCTGCACAGTCATCACTGAATGCATGTTTATAGTTTATTAGTAATTAAAATTGAATTTGAGACTGAAGTAAAAGAAAAAAGGGAGGGAATGTGGTGAGTTGTACGTAAAAGGATCTTTTTCTGCGCCTTTAGACGTATTGGGCATATAGGGCTAGACCTGTATTTTATAGACTAATCGGCACTCGGAGTGTTATATGGTCAGCATCACGGTGACCACCTTTACTTCCCAGAACTTTACCTGATTCCCATTTAAGACTGGGTCAACCTGAGAGCCAGGGTAATTTTTTTGGGGAAAAAAAAAGCCTATCTCCGTTCAGATTTGAACCCATGGTCTTCCACTCTGCAGGCAAGCGTCTATACCATGGTGGCTCCTTGAGCTGTACGTGATAGCATAGAATAGGGCAACTTGGCTGTAGTTGGTTGAGGACCCATACTCCATTGGAGGATATAGGAATAAGAAGAAGTAATAATGATTTTTGTTGAATTGACACTTGAGACAATAAATTACTTTTGTCCCACCCACTGTCACAGGCTTGTAGAGGTTCAGAACTTGACCATGGTGTGACAGTGGCAGATGCTGCCGGTGAAGATGACGTGGAAATACGCCGCATCCCAACTGAGGCTGACTTCCTGATGGCATATTCTGTAGTTCCAGGTTTGTGAACTGCAGCTAGCGTTAACTATTAACTTTCTAGACCAGTGTTTCCCACTACTGCCCACTGGGATGGTCCAAGGGGCGGTAGCGGCCTCGGATCAAATTTCATCAGACAAAAAATTATAGGTCTATCTAGTGTTTTTGTTGTTGTTGTTGTCTTTTTTGGGGGGGGGGGGGGGGGGGGAAGAAGGAAGGAGTGGTGTGGGTTTCACTAGGCAACAGGCTTAGAGTAAATTCCAGCCTGCTTTGGGTCCCTCTAAATGGAAAGGCAGAGCATGAAACCTCATGCAGCCCCATTGGACACAGAGCTTTCAAACGCCAAAGACATTCTTGAAACAAGTTTAGCTAAACTGGAGAGATGACTTACCACGGCAGGACTAGTCGTGCATTGTTTACTGAATATTCAGCGGAGTTTCCTATAACAATTACAGACGAGGAATGAAAGATGATACGAAACAAAAATAATCATTATATCATTCTTTTCGTTTGTTTACAGAAGGTGTTTTTGGCAGGGAATAGTCTTGAGAACGTTGTGACATCTGGCAAAATAGATAGAAAGGACAAGCAGAAAGCAGAATGATAAATATCTTGATTGCTTGGCCACATGCCTGGGGAGGGGGAAAAGAACCATCTGACTCATGATTCTGCTGATGGTGAATGATGGCTACCTATGCTTTTTTGGCGAGGCACATAATGATGTTTGTCCAGGGAGGAGGACAGAAAAAAGGGGGGTGGGGTGGGGGAGGGGGGGGGGGGGGCTGGGCCATTTAAAAAAAATTTAAGTTTCACTGAAGGGGGGAGGGGGGCGATGGGCCAAAACAGTTAGGAAACACTGTCCTAGACTGTTTGATGGCAAGAGAAATTCTGTCTTTTGTCTCATAGGAGACCTTACTAATTAATCAACTCTTGCGACATGCTTGTTGGAGGGCAGGGGTCCATTCTTGTCCCCTATAAAAGGGCCCTGAAACCTACACAGGGATTGTTTGGAATGACCAAGGAATGATGATGCCTTGTTTGGAATGACCGAGGAATGATGATGCCTTGTTTGGAATGACCGAGGAATGATGATGCCTTGTTTGGAATGACCGAGGAATGATGATGCCTTGTTTGGAATGACCAAGGAATGATGATGTGTTGTTTGGAATGACCAAGGAATGATGATGCCTTGTTTGGAATGACCGAGGAATGATGATGCGTTGTTTGGCACTGAAAGAGTTATAGTGAATATCATATTTCTTTTCTCACCAGTTATGACTGGCACCTTTGTTTTTCCCAGACTATAGGGAGCCAAAGGAGCCGCAGCCCATGGGGATGGTGAGTGTGACCAGCAAGGTCCGCTCGCTTCAAAAAAGATCTTTCACAAAGTGCATGGGATTTAAGACCGTTGTTGTCATCACCAATATATTTATATCAATACTATGCTACCAGTGCCAGACATGGACATTATCAAAGGGTTACCTATGTAAAATTAACACCTGTGAAATGAGATGCCTGACAAAAACTGCCAGCTTAACCATCAGAGACAAAGTTAGAAATGATATGATCAGACAGACTGTAGGAACAACATCATGTAGCATCATTGAGAAACAGAAGATCACTTGGTTTGGTTATTCAGTAAGAATGCAGCCAGAACAACGACCAACCCAGGAGCTACACATGAAAAGATCTGAAGTGAGAGCAAGAGGCCGCCCTAGGAGAAGATGTAATGATGACATTAAAGAGCTTCTACATCAACACGGAATGACAGTACCCAATGCTGCCAACGCAAACTATTCCTCCCCACATCGCTTAACGGCAGAAGTGGAAATTGGTGATGATGTTGTCATAACCTGTAATTAATGTATTTCTTTTGAGATAATCAGTTTTTGTCCTATGTATTTTCTCCGTTGTTTCTATTCCCTTCCTGATTTCCTCATCAAGTCAACACAGTTCATGTCATCCTGTTCACATGGATCCACCTGAGTACCTGTGTCATTCGTGTCCAACTTACACAAATCTTTATATTGTTATTCATCTTCTTCTCTCTACACCTGGAATGCCTCCTGGCATCAGGGCAGGAAGAGATCTCTGAATAGTTCCTTCTGTTCATTTTACATATGTTACTCCTCAGTGTCTCTGATATTTCTGGATCCATGCAGATCCACCTCTGGCTCCATTTCTGCTCTGTCTGTATAAAATTGCTCTCTTTGGCGCCCTGTCTGTATAAAATTGCTCTCTTTGGCGCCCTGTCTGTATAAAATTGCTCTCTTTGGCGCCTTGTTTGTATAACATTGCTCTCTTTGGCGCCCTGTCTGTATAACATTACTCTCTTTGGCGCCCTGTCTGTATAAAATTGCTCTCTTTGGTGCCCTGTCTGTATAACATTGCTCTCTTTGGCGCCCTGTCTGTATAACATTGCTCTCTTTGGCGCCCTGTCTGTATAACATTGCTCTCTTTGGTGCCCTGTCTGTATAACATTGCTCTCTTTGGCGCCCTGTCTATTGCCAGTTGTAATGATGATTACAACTGAAGGTGCTTACCCTAACAGAAAAATTTAAAAGCATGAACATCAACCCCATGCACAGAATAGCAAATAACCTAACTAAAAATTGACTGAAAAGACAAAGCTTTTACCATCTATCAAAATTGTACTACAGAAAAAAACAGTGATACCCTTTCTAAAGATCATTCTAAATGCGAAATGATCCAGGCATACAGCATAGACCTACAGCCTAACTTTACAGTCACAACAACAATTCCAGACATAGATAGAAAAGCTGAAGAATGTGACCTAGTACTGCATGCAAAATCCCTTGAACATGTCTACAACTGTTATCCAAAACCGGAATGGACACATATACATCATTGGAAGGAGCAGAAACAAATGGTGGAGCTGGATAGGTCATCATGCTGCAAGATGGGACCACAGTAGAAACACCATATGCACCCGAAAAATTATCAACAAACTTCACAGCAGCAAGCAATTATTAATTCAGCCAAAGTGCTTGGGGAAAGAAAAATTTAAAACAGCAAAATGTTTTTCCTTTGTGACTGCATGTCAGTCCTACAGGCGACTTAGAGGGATCCACGAGACAACATGGAGAGAGAACTGACCCGCCAACTAATCAGACTCTCAGAAAACAATCAAATCATTCTCCAGTGGATCCCAGCTCACAGTGGCATACCAGGAAATGAGTTAGCAGAAAGACTTGCAAAAAATGGAACAAAGGAGAAACAACACACTCATTTATTGTCATTAACAGAAATCAGAACACTTATCAAGGAAAAATACAAGGAATTGTGGAAAAAACAAACAGTAAACATCCACAAGACCCCATCAGCAAACTCAACAGAAAGCAACATACAGCAGTTTTCCATCTATGAACAGGATACTGCAGGCTTAACTATCACATGCATAAAATAAAGATTGTACAATCCCCACAACACCTGAGCACATTCTGCAGACCTGCCCACTCTACCTACAACTTCAAAAGACACCTGGCCTCAAGAGCAAAGTGTGCAGAGCAAGCTGTGGGGAACCATGAAGGACCTGCTACTGACATGCCAGTTCATAGCGGCAACCCACCTGATGGTCTGATCTGAGCATATAAAACTGAGCGCAAAGAAGAAGAAGAACTTAATTATAATTAATTATTAATTGTAATTATGATAAAGAATAGAATAGGACAGGCCAAAAACTGCATTTTACAACATGAAGAATATTTTATGCAATAAATCAATGTCATTAGAGGTTAGGAAAAGAATTCTCACTTGCTATATAGAATTCTTTGAATAGCTAAGAAGAGCAACCCAGATGTTTTGAAAGAGGCGAATGCTCGAAGACAACTTATCACAAACATCAGAAAGAGACAGTCATAATTTGTTGGTCATGTTATGAGAGGAGAGAAAATGGAACATGTTGTCACAACTGGAAAGATCTCTGGAAAGAGAGACAGAGGAAGACAGCGTGAGAAGATTCTTGACAGTCTTTTGTCATGGCATAGAGGGTTGTCAACACACGAACTGATACACAGAGTTGCAGATCACAGTTTGTGGATAGGCATGATCGCCCATGCCAGTCGGCAAGGCACTTGATGATGAATTATGATTGTATATTTTAAGGTCTCAACATATTTCTCTTTCCCTCCCCCCTTTTCCCCTCCATCTTTCAGGTTTCTATTCTTGGAGGAACTCTGCTAAAGGTTCATGGTTCATTCAAGCTTTGTTTGATGTGTTCACAAAAAACTGGAAGACATTGGATGTGTTGACTATGATGACTAGGGTCAACAAAAAAGTAGCCTACAACTTTGAGTCACAGTCAAGCACAGAAGGCTGGAGCAAGAAGAAGCAGATTCCATGTGTGACATCAATGCTGACTAAAGATGTCTACTTTAAAAAGTAATATATTCAAATAAATTAAGTGCTGATTACCAGTGCATTTGAAAAAGTAACATCCTCAGACTGTAAAAAAAAAAAAATAGTAAGATCCCTTTTGACAACTTCAGGCACATAGGGCATATGGGAAGAGCACCCATATTTTTACTGACCAATCTGCACTAGGTGGGTAAAAAGGTCAGCATTACACCGGCCGTCTTTACTTCCCCAGGACTTTTCAGACTATACCAGTCCTGAATTAAGATGCTTACTTTAAAAAAAAAAGGTAATATTTTCTTATTTAAAAAAAAAAATAAGGTTATATTTTCTTATTATTTCAATCCTGTCTTAAGATGTTTACTTCAAAAAGTAAAATTATAATTTGTGAAGAAAATTGCAAATTATAGGTGGATTATGAAGTCACCATAAATATTCCTTCTTTTATTTGTCATGGAATCAGTAACATTATTATGATTTTTTTACTTGCAAATCTGCAGCACATAAGCATATTATAAAAATCTAAGACAATGAATGTTTGACTGGAAGACGATACCACAAGAGTGGGAGAATCTCGAGGTAGACACTAGTAAAAAAAAAAAAGTGCACCAGAGAGTGGTGAAAAAAGAAATAGAATACTTCTATTACATGGAAAGATATAAAACAGAATGAAAAGTACACCAGCAAGCTTCATAATATAACAAATACAAACAAAAAGTTGCGGCTATAGAGCCTTCATCAGCACATAAATCAAACAAAACCACACGAATACACACAATCTCTTAACTAATGTATCCCGAAGCAGCCAAGTTGGTGTCTTGCCAGTAGAAAAATAAAAACATAACTAGCTGTGATAATGCTCATTAAATCTGACAACTGAACTCATAGTATATTTCAAACCACCTCAAGTGGCTATTATTAGAACTCCTGGCATTTGAAGATTATTTTTTAACAAACGTATTGTTTTAGGGGCGATGTGTTGAATATTGCAAGTTGTTGAGAGGCCAGGTGGCTCTTATTAGAGCTCCTGGCATTTTAAGATTATCTTTGTAACAAACGTGTTGTTATAGGGGCGATGTGTTGTATATTGCAAGTTGTTGAGAGAGGCCAGGGTAGTTGGACTGGATTCCAACAATGATATTGAAAGGTTTCCATTTAATAGAAAGAAATGGACTAGACTGTGAGGCCTATATGACATAATGCTCAGCAGGATAATGAATGAATGAATGTTACAAGTAATTAGACAAATATGCAACTAGCTTTATCAAGGCAGCATTGAGTTTTTATCATTATTGTCGTCATGTAGCATGACCTTCATAGAATGTTGCTATCATTATGGTCTACTTGAAAGAAACTTCGTCTCTCACCTCATGCATTATCCTACCTAACATGTCATCTATGTCTTGTACCCATCTTCACTCTGGTCGGCCTCTGCCTTTCTTACCAGTTCAGTGCCTTCTGCTATTATTCTTTCCAATCCACCGTGGCATTTGATATAGCCAAAATATTTCAGTTTGCTAGATAAGATGCTGTTCACTAACTATTTCTTGATGATCAGATCTTTTAGGTAGGGTGACTATTGTACCCAGTTTTCACCGAGACAGCCCCTTGTAAAGTGTGCCCCAACCATCCCAGAATTAGCTTGAATAGAATATGCACTTATATCTGTAGACCTTTTTGATTGGATTTCAGTATTACATACTTGCAATAATAATAATAAAAATTAATTGCAGAATTATTGAGAGAGGGGGGGGGGGGGGGGGACTCACCTGCTTGAGATGTCCCATTTTCAGCTCAAAATATTGGTGGGATTCTCATTTTTAGTTCAAGATATTATGGTGACGCTACTTTTAGGATGTCACTATTTCTTGTCTTCATGGTCCATGATATTCTGAGAATCTTTGAGCAGTATTGAGTTTAGTAGTTAGTGTTACTGCCTTTGGGTTTATTCTGACTATTGTGATTGCAATTATGTGTGCTTATGAATGCAAGAATTTCCTGTCTAGGCTCTGGATCCCATCGTGGGGAAAACAAGAATAGACCCGCTGCTTCCCTAACAAGCATGTCAAAAGAGATGGCTAATTGGAGGCTTCCTGTGAAGTCAAAGTACATCTACCAGAGAGGCAAGGAACCACCAACTGCACACAAATAAGTCAATAAAACGAATGTATACTCACGAGTCTGTCTTGATACAAAGCCAAAGTGCAAAGGATGAACAGCCAGGACTTTCCACTGAAGCTTACAGCCAGTGAACAAAGAAGAAGAATCATGTATGATGACAGAGTAAACATTTATGGGCTGTTTTGTTTAACATCTTTGGTACCCTTTGATCGTATGAAAAAAATGAAAATGAAAATTGGTAACCATGGAAACAGATGTCTGAGAAGGTCTGCAGGAGTGACCAGAAGAGATCCAATCAGAAATGAGATCATAAGAGAAAATGTTTGAACAAAACCAGTTCTGAATTACATACTGTTACAAAGGCAAAAAATAGTTTGCTCTTTTAGAGAGTGCCTTGTGACGCCATACCATACACCAAATGAGAAGGATGTAGAGCCAGGTAGAACAAGAACAAGTTGAAATGATAACATCAAAGAAACAATACAGCAGCATGATGTGTCTATAGTTGAGATGGCCAGAAAAGCATAAAGCACAACCTTATATCTCTTTTGACACCCAAAGTGGTAAAAGAGGAATAAAAAAGGAGGGGGAGAGAGGTTGCCAGTCCGTTTGTATGATTTAAATTAACAAGATTTTGGAGACTACAAGCGATTAAACTGACAGACAGGTGTCTGATATATAAATAGTTATGCTATATTTACCTTACTTTTTCCCTGTAAAAGACATTATGTTGTCATAAATTTATTCAGTTTAAAACTGGATGAAAAAAGTAGGAGAGGGACAGCTTATACCCAGAATGCAATTAAAATATATATTTCTTAATTTTGGGCTAAAATAATGAGTCATCGTATGCATGGCCAAAACTTTTGGCCAAGAGAAACACCGGTGCAAGAGAAACACTGGTGCAAGAGAAACACCGGTGCAAGAGTGACACCGGTGCAAGAGAAACACCGGTGCAAGAGAAACATTGGTGCAAGAGAAACACCGGCGACACCAGTGCAAGAGAAACATTGGTGCAAGAGAAACACTGGTGCAAGAGAAACATTGATGCAAGAGAAACACCGGTGCAAGAGAAACATCGGTGCAAGAGAAACACCGGTGACATCAGTGCAAGAGAAACACCGGTGACATCAGTGCAAGAGAAACACCGGTGACATCAGTGCAAGAGAAACACCGGTGACATCAGTGCAAGAGAAACACCGGTGACACCGGTGCAAGAGAAACACCGGTGACACCGGTGCAAGAGAAACATCAGTGCAAGAGAAACACCGGTGCAAGAGAAACACCGGTGCAAGAGAAACATCGGTGCAAGAGAAACACCAGTGCAAGAGAAACACCGGTGCAAGAGAAACATTGGTGCAAGAGAAACATCGGTGCAAATGAAACACCAGTGCAAGAGAAACATCGGTGACACCGGTGCAAGAGAAACACCGGTGCAAGAGAAACACCGGTGCAAGTCAAACTTTTTGGGTCGCTGAGTGAATAACAAAAGACAGTGAAGTTCATAATAGGGACAACATTGCAGACATAGATAATTTATTTCAAGCAAGCGAAAGAAGAAGATGAAGATCACATACATGGAAAATACAGTTGATCTTTTATTTCATGGTTTGAATTTTTATGCAAGCTTGATGAGACAGGTCAGTTGTTAACATTTGTGTCGAAAGCTAGTTTGGCGGAATGCATCCTTGCCTGGAGATTCCCTATAATGCCTTCTAAATGATTGTTTTACAGGGCTCGAAAAATAATTGTCTTGGGGAAATTTATTGGTTCCTGAGTTTATAGAAAAGAAGGGCATTCAGTACAGTCTGAATAACTTAGATAATTTTACAAATAGAGTGAATCCCCGGAAAAGAACTGAATAAACTTCTGAATAATCAAAGTTCAATACATTGCTAATTGAACTCAAAGGAATCACAGATTAAAATACTTTATCTAAACAAGGAATTCAAACAGATACCAATTGACATAATCAGATATTTTAGTTTTACTAAATCAACAAATTTATTGACATAACACGGCTCAGAACATCCCTTTAAATTATTCAAGTCAAAAAGAAAACAACATCATGCAACACCGAAGAAATCCAAATGAATCTAAACGTCACTCAGCTTTAGGATCGTTTGAGTGGAATACAGAATTCCTTGTGGGATGGACAATATACTGGCAACATTGGTGGCCATTGGCTGTCTTCAACGTGTAGTCTGTTTAATTAATTTCGGATCTATTATTTCTTTCCCTTGTACAGTGTTGTTGACAATCCATGGGGTTATAGGGAACCTGAATTTGTAGTATTATTATATCTTTTTAGCTAAGCCGATGGAAAGGCTGGGACGGTCGTTTTGTGTAGCAACGAATCACTAGATCTAGGGTTTTGTTCCCTAGTAGTAACCAAGAAAAACGTCATAATTTATGTGCTTCTTAACGCCGTCGAACATTTACCACTATTCCCGCATCTACATTTTTAACAAATGCGCAATTGTTTAACTAACAAGATGCAATAAACTCTTGCCGGACTGAAATATTCCGTTGGTTTGTCCCAATTTGTAAACAGTATTTTATCATTTAATTTTATTCTATGATTGTGAATGCAACGTTGTGGTTTGCTTGTCTGTAATAAAATAAAGAAAACTATTGTCAACTGATAGTGCTTTCATTTTCTGCACAGCATTTGTTAATACTGTCAGTCTTATTTTTCATTGTCTGTTGATGGAATTACTTAAACATATATGACTTCTGGTCGGTGTAGAGGATAGGCTAGTTTACTTTTTTGTAGATTGGCAAGTGTTTGCTTCTGGCAATAGTTGGCTGTTGCATTTTTCTCCATGTATAGACTGAAAGAATATAGTTTCATCACCCAGCTACTGAGTGAGTGCATGGCATGACACAGATTTAGAATGCTTTTTGATT